AAAGACAGAATAAAAAATAAAACGGTCAGAGAAGAATACGGGATTACAGATATTCTCAAATACAATAAAGAACAAAGGAGAGAGTAGAATAATCATGTGGAGGGATCAGACGACAGGCGTCTAATCAAATTAGTAAAACACAATAATTAGTCAACAAAAAAACGACCACTCAGAAGGTCGCCGAAAAAATGATAGGAAGTTGGAAATCCTCTTCGGCAGAAAGTGCAGATCATAAAGCGTAAAGAAAGACCGACTATGTCTAAATGGTAGAGGAAGAAGAAGAAGATTATGAAAGTATAATGTAGTATTAAGTAGTTGTATTACGCGCGGCATTTAGGTCGTTATTATGCGAGAGTTTGAGATACGCGAGAGGGCGCATGCAGACACGCCGCGCACGATGCGAGATACACGCACGTTAACGTACGCGAGTGAATTACACAAGTATATTCTATATTTTGTATTTTTCCGTCATTAAATATATACATCTTTCTAAAAGAAACCTCTCGAGTGTTTATTGGCAACAAACGTAACACATAAATTGAAGAAATTAGGCTCGTAAGAATAAATCAAATATGTATTGAAATAATGCCTATCGAGCCGACACAAGTAGTGGTATGTATTAATTTTTACAAATCTAGCTACGCGCAAACTGCATGCAACTGCCGCATATTCGTCGGTCTTGAAACAGTGGATTCCGGCCTCATGTAAAGAACTGTGTTTCCAAACCGATAAATATGCAGCGCAAAGTTTGCATGTGACTGGATATTGTAAAAATTAATATACTCCAACACTCGTGTTGACTCCATAGGCATTACTTCAATATATATTTAATTTATAAAAGCATATTTAATATAGTTTTATTTATTAAATTTTATAAGTAGAACTAATTGCGAAAAAGATATTTCTTTGTTATATTGTAATATATTAATTTATAATTATGATAAAAGTTCTTTAACTTTAAATATATAGACAAATTTAATCAAGCATATTGTTTCTTCAAATTATTGTTTTCTTTGTTACGCTTTAACTTATTAATTTATTTAACAAAAATTTAACTTTAAATATATTAAACCAAAATTTCCTTGATAAATTTATTAGATACATGTAAAAAATTTGTTTTCAAATATATTTATGATGATTACATGATTTGAATCGTGATCGCGAGTATTTAGAATTAAAAGAAATATTATATACCTCTGAACTGCTTTAACAAATTGATGGTTTTTGTTTGGTTCCAACTGAACACCAATTAGAGAATCTTGATGTAACAACATGTAAAAAAAAATGTTATTAACCTGGAAATTTTAAGATTTACACATAAATATAATAAGCACCAAAGTTCTTTTGCTTTGACCACCACATTAGCCTATTTTCATCTTAAGTCTTGTTAGAAATTTTATTATTTAAAATACTAATGTGCATTGACGAAACATTGAGATTTACATTACTTATGAATGATACAGTTTTAACGATAAAAAATATTTTGTTACGTACATTATCATGTATAAAAAATAACACTAGTTTACAAAAAAAAATGTTATGTTTAATTACTTTAAACTGGATTACGTATTTCTTAGATTTTTGGATGCTGAAAACAATGCCGCATGTCAAATTTGTCCATCAACGTCAGTTTCTAAAATAATTGAGATTTGTCCAAAAATGGCTTTTTTGGCAACATTTGACACTTTTGTGTATAGATAGTTAATTTGAAATTTTATTTAGAAGTCATGAATATATTGTTCAACCCTTATAAAATGTATTTTTTTATTTCAATATGTTATTCTTTAATCATGTTATAAAGAATTGAAGTTAGAAGTTATTTCTAATATGGGAACTCTGAAGCAACGTTAAATGCGCATGCACAATTGACGGCGGTTTTGCGATTATTTGTTTTCTTCTAGACCACACAACTTTTATTTGAAATACATTCTTCGAGATATTCGAAGTGATTTAAAATGAGACACCTTGTGTGTGTATGTGTATAGTGTATACAAATATATATTATATATACCTATATATTAGAACATTCTCTGTCAAAACGGCCACTCCCTCCCTCCTGCTCACTGCAATTTTTGAGAAAAAATACTTCAAAAGATCTTAAAATTTTCGTTGGAATGTCTATTTTTTTATGCCGTATGGCCTTTTTAAAAATTCATTTATAATTATGACTGCGGATTCAGCGATTCCTAAAAGCTTAATTTATGGAAATAGAAAATTTTTTCTAGCTTCTTGTGCTATAATAATTAAAGTTTGTCCCAAAAATTTTTTTACGACAGTCCATTCTAGTCGCAATTCTGAATCTGCTATCTTGAATTTCTAAAAAGGCCATACCTTATCAAAAAATAGACATTTCAACGAAAATTTTAAGACCTTTTGAATTATTTTATCTTAAAAATTGAAATGGGCAGGGGGGGGTGACCGTTTTGACAAAGAATGCCCCATATATATGGTACATGTATATATGTATATATTATACCTATATATACGTTTAACAGAATCTATCACGATAAATTATAAATGAGTATGTATACCAATAAGCAAAAACCAAAAACAATAAATACATATAATTTCATCATTATTGGCAGAACATGTGTTATCTTTAATTAAATAAATATTAAAAAATTAGAAAAATCCTGTATTTAAATTCTTCATAATATGGCTGAAATAAGTTATTAAAATAAAAAAAAATGCATTTTATATAGGGGATAAACAATATTCTAACGGAATTTCAAAATAACATTAACATTCATTACATTCATTTATTTTAAAAAAATGTCAAAAAAAGGCATTTTTTTAGACATTAAACTTCAATTATCTTAAAAATTTGACGTAGAGTTATTTGGGATAAACGCGTGCATTGGGTAAGTATGTGAATCGTTTATATCTCAACGGGAGGAAAAGGTGAAAGTTAGTTACTGTTAGCCGAGTAGTGGCGCTTGCATACCAGTAAAAAGTAAACAGTAGGTGGAACTCTATGCGCAATAATAAAATAAGTATATGCATAGTTATAAAACATTAAACAGTAACACCAATAGATTTTTGATTATTGAAAAAGTGTGTTACGTCAAATTAACAAAGAAAAGAGAGGTGATTCTTTGTATATGTGTAAAAAATTGTAACCTATACTATATTAAAGTTAATGCTCAAAAAATATCTTAAAAAATGTTGATTGCTCACTTACTTCAAGTGCATTTATTATATACTGCGCATATTTAGTTGCAATACGGGTCAGGTGAGCGCATTCGTCTCTTCGGGATAATTTATAATTTTGTGAAAATATGAGAAAAGTTGCACATTTTTAATTAGTCAAACGTCAACTAAAAAGTGCGCGCATGTTTACCCAGAATAGCTCTACTGCAATTTTTCAGTTTGCGTCATTGTTTTCATAATTCAAAAAATTATGAAAAGCACCTAGTCCAGTTTAAAATAATTTTTTGCTGTAAATTAGTATAATCATTTATTACAACTTAAGTAATAACATATTTTTTAAATTTTTATATTAAAAAGTTTTAGAAGAATTTTAATAATAAAATTATTCTTAGTAATCTTATCTTTAGATTAATAACATACAAGATAACAGGTAAAAGATAAAAGGTTTATAAAATAATATTGTTAATGCATCAATAATTTTTAATATTTAGAATTATAACATTTGTTACATATGTTAAAGCGATGCTCTCAGGTCGGACCGATATTACAGTTATATAAATATCTTCGAATTGATTGAACAGACTTGAAAATCCTTTCACGGGATTGAAATAGACACGAAATGTAGTGGTGGGAGTAGAAGGAATTTGTAGTAAAAAAAAAGAAATTTAAAAAAATTTTTTTTTGTTTTTACTACAAATTCCTTCGTCCCACCATTACATTTCGTGCAGTCACTCTCTTTCTGTGAAAGGATTTTCAATTCCATTCAGTCAATTCAGAGATATTCATATAACTGTAATATCGGTAATTCCGACCTGCCAGCATCACTTTAATGTAACATGTACTTAGAAATTGATCCGTTCAGCCGTTGTTAAGATCCAATAATCTTGGGCGCTCGCAACTCGCCGCACAGTGTTCCGAAATCTCAAAAAAGTGGCTATAAATAACATTTTCATTATATTTAATTTATTTTACTTTAGAAGTAACTGTTACTTTTGGTGACCTGTCAAAGACAACTAAATATACAGACAATTTGCACTACTTCGCACCGCGTTGTCCGTTTGTCAAAACAAAGATATTATATCTATTAGTACTCACGCAAAAGAACGAGCGATATCCAGCGATTACAAAGATACAAGAATTTTATTTTTAATTTTTATTTTAGAAATTATTGTAATTTTTTTTTAATATGTTATTTCAAATCATCTAAAGTATATTATTTAAAAATCTATTATTTAAAAATATATTAGTTAAAAATATGTAGTAACATATGTTACATAGAGCACTAACTAGGCCTAAACTAACTTTCTCGCAAAATACATGTATATTATATATAAAGTTGTTAAAAAAAGAAGTAAAAAAGCTAAGCGAGTGAAATACAGATAAAAATCAAAACAGTTTCAAGTAAAGCTTACTTCTAAAGTGCAATAAATTAAATATAATGAAAATGTAATTTATGATCACTTTTTTGAGATTTCGGATCACTGTGCGCCGGCTCGCGTAAAGAGATACGGTCCGATCCGACGCGTCCTCTTTAGCGCCGAGCCACGACCATGTCTCCTAATTCATAAAATTAGAATATATTAATAATTTATAAATATATTCAATTATATTGTCTTACCACATGCAATTCTCAAAGCGCAATTTGATATATGATCTAGATAGGTAATTTCGTTTTCATTTAATTCAACTTTTTCTAAATCATCTGTAAGAATTACAGATTGCTCAACAAACGTATTAAAGAAACCTTGCAACATGTGAGAACTAAATGTTGGTGCAGTCATTATTCTTATTCGAGTCCATGCAGATGCTGAAATAATTATAATAGAGGATTATGTAAAAAAATACAATAAATAGTAGAATAATTTTAAAACTGAATTAATATTAAGAATTATTAATATAGGATACAGCGGGGTAATTTGAATAGTGGAGTAATTTAGATAACAGTAAGCATTTGCAAGAATTTCAGAAAAATAAGAGATTTTAAGATACATATTAGATTAATGTCTGATCTGTATAAATGTATCTTAAAATCTCTTATTTTTCTGAAATTCTTGCAACTGCTTATTGTTATCTAAATTAGCCCATTATTCAAATTATCCCGCTGTACCCTAAAGAAAAAATTCAACAAATTTGTGACGTTTTTATTAACATTTAGTATTATTATATATTTGGAATTATTAATAATATTAATAAAATGTAACATAAAAGTAAATATTAATATCCATATTTATTATTTATAACGTATAGACGTTTAATATTATAAATATAAATTATTATAGACATAGGATATACAGATGTATAAATTAAAAGTTATTAAAATATAATACATACATTGCCAACAAAATAAACGCACAGGTGTTTCGACCAGCAAGTTCCCTGTGGTGCGCACTAGACACATAATGCTAATGCCAGTAATTAAACAAAAATGCAATGATAACTTTGACATGCCGTAACTCCGCGAAAAAAAATCGTATAAAGTTTCATTTTTTTTTCAAATTTGTAGCAAGAAGTCTAAACTTTACGATAGTTACCATAATATTTGCAAAAAATTAATTCCGTCCCGTAGAGTGCGTCAAATTACGCATTTTTTTTGAGACGTAACATGTCTCTTTTTCAAAAGATGACGGTTAGGAGAAAAAATAAATTAAAAATTTATCAAAAGCATCTTTAAGTACAGGCTTTACCCTTAGAATGAAAAAAAAATTTTTCATATGATACGACCATTTTTCGTGGAGTTACAATTGTCTAAAGTGATGCGAAAATTTTGATATAAATTTACCTATGCGTTTATTTTGTTACCAATATATTTATTTAATTACTTTTTAAATTAACAATAAAAATAAATACATAGTTTCAAACCAGTAATTAATTTATTATTTTATTATTGTAAATAAGTCTTACCAGGAGCAGTGAGTAATCCCATTCCTAACACTGGAGGCATAAATTTATAGATGCTAGCTTTATCAATGCAATTGTTGTTGTATAAGACTGTCTACAACATTATAAGTTAATTATTTCTGTATTGCATATTTAATATTATGCATATTTTTATTTTATTTAAATAATTAACACAAAATTCACCAATTGTAAAACTAATTTGTGTTAATTGACATAAATTATGATATTAAAACTTTATGTGCTTACATTCAAAATAGCACATATGGTTTTATATTTGAACGTTTTCTGAATGGTTATAAAACATTAAATATGTTTTAAAAATATATAATATAAACAATAAAACATACATGCACAAGCGCACGTTACCTGAGATATACATATATACATATATATAATTTGTATAAACATGCAGTCTAAAGTGAATACTTATATTAAATTCTAGAAACATTATATTAAAATAAAAAGTCCTTTACTTTTGCTTCATCTGGAGTGTATATTCCAATTATTAACTTGCTACCTATCCAAAGTTGACAAAGGGATGGATAATCTTCTACGAACTTTAACAGGACATCCATAAAATCTAAAAATTTTAGTGTATCATAGAGATGATTTTTATAAGATTACCTACGTATACATTATTATTACAAAATAAAGGTTACGTATATTTTAATTATACATATTTTTATACTATTCACAACATAACTAAACGTTTTAGGAATATTTATTTGTTATGTACATACATGTGCACGCAATTTTACATCAAGTCAGAAAACAAATGTGCAAAAACTTTCCCTTATGTACTTGTATCCTAATTTTTAATTTATTTAAATTAAAGACTCAATGATCAATCGATCATTTCAAAATATTTTTATCTGCGTCTGGATGGTAAACGTCAGTAAACGTCATAAAAAATTAGGCATTTTTAGATTATTTAATTATTTCTTAATTGGACTTTTTTCCACATTCTTTCATTATTAAGCATAAAGTCTCGGGAAAATTTTTTTCATATAGGAACATATATAAGTACATATAAACATGTATAAAAATATATAATTATATATAATTATATATAATTAAACATAATTATATGCAAAATATGTCTGTACATATATGTTTCTTTTCTTTGTAAAATTATTGTTTGGTACAAGAAAAATAATAATAATAAAAAGAAAACATAAAAAATAATTAAAAGATTAATTTTTGCATTGTTTTTTTTACAAAAAATTGACTTTTAAGAAATGAGAAAAAATTGTTCATATATAATGATATATGTATATTTTAATTATTTATATATGATTATATATAAGCAATTTTTCTCATTTCTTCAAACTTGATTTTTTGTAAAAGGAACAATGTAAAAATTATCCTTTTAATTAGATCGGAAGAGCA